CACATTCTGAATGTACTTGTTTTCTTTCAGTAAACATGTATTAGCATTGCTGAGGATGTAGAGCTGTTTCTTCCCCAGCAACAGTGTCATGAACTATTCATCTCTTTGTAGATGGGTATATTGAGTACCTATGGAGAAAGGTCACCCTACCCTCATTTCTTTCTTATCTAAGTCTGTAATTTAAGATTAAGTGTGTAAAATGCCTTTTCTTTTGCCAGGGAGGCTGGTTTACCTTTTCCTATCAGTAGTCTTCTATGGATCCAAATGCATTATTAACCTGATACTCAAAACTGACTGATTGTAAGTAATCCCATTGATATGTCAGATAGGTCTACAACTTAATCGGATTTTACTTATGATAGTACAGGAAGCATTTAACTATAGTTCTACTTTATGTCTTCATTTGTAGTTTTATTTGAAACTGCTAGCATAATTTATTTGTAAGAAAGTCCAGACTGAATCTTTGCTTCTGTTACTCTTTGTGTAGAGCTAAATACATGTTGAACATGCATAAATATTTGAGTTGTTTTACATTTTATATGTAAATTGATATTTTGTACTTTAAAATCAGTCGGCTAATCATTTTAAGCTATTTTTTTTTCAGTTTTCATATAATTGATTTAAAATTTTTTAAATTATATATTTATTTTTGAGAGAGAAAGAGAGCGAGGAAGGGGCACAGAAGGAGGGAGACACAGAATCCGAAGCAGGGTCCAGGCTCTGAGCTGTCAGCACATGGGCTCGAACCCATGAACTGTGAGATCATGTCCTGAGCCGAAGTTGGACACTTAACTGACTGAGCCACCCCAGCACCCCATGTTTGTTTGTTTGTTTGTTTGTTTGTTTATGAGAGAGAAAGAAAATGTGAGTGGGGGAGGGGCAGAGAGAGGGAGAGACACAGAATCCGAAGCAGGCTCCAGACTCTAGGCTCTGAGCATCAGCACAGAACCTGACTCCGGGTATGAGCTCAAGAACTGTGAGATCATGACCTGAGCTGAAATCAGATGCTTAAGCAACAGAAGCCTCCCAGGCACCCCGTATTTGATGTTTTAATGAAGTTTATCATTTTAAATGTTTTTTTTTTTTTTTTTTAATTTATTTCTAGGAGAGAGAGAGAGAGAGACAGCGCGAGCAGGGGAGGGTCAGAGAGAGAGGCAGTCACAGACTGAAACAGGCTCCAGGCTCTGAGCTGGCAGTCAGCACAGAGCCCAACGCGGGGCCCGAACCCATGAACCGCAAGATCATGACCTAAGCTAAAGTCGGACGCTTAACCGACTAAGCCACCCAGGCGCCCCTGAAGTTTATCATTTTAATCTTATGTTTTATTAGGCACAATCCTTTAAAATTTTTTGTTGAAAAAGTTTTAAAGCATTAATTAATTGAGTCCACAGTGAAGTATGTAACATATTACACAGAGCTGTTCTCAGGGCTGTGGGGAAGAAGACCACAAAGACCCTTAAAATCTTGTTTAGGAAATGATCCACTACAAAAGTAAAATCCAGTCAAACATGAAATAAAACCGTGTAAATCATTGAAACAGAGTTGTAATTCAGATGTTATATTCATTGTCAAATGAGAGTTGCAGACTTCAAGTGTTAGAGAAGTTCAGAAGTGGAGCCAGTTGCTATGGGTTAGGTAGGGCATATACATTCTCTGGTAAAAACTGCTTCTTGATTGAGGGGGGATTGAAAAACTCTTAAATATTACAGTGGTTTGTAGCCCTCCAAAGGGCCATAGCACATAAACATATAATACAGTATACCTGGGTTAATAAAATTTTCTGGGAATGGGAGAAACAATCTAAAAATGCCTGGGTGGGGGAAGGTAGCAATCATGAAATTAAGGTTGAGAAACTGGGCACCGAAGGGCAGACAATAAGTTTTAGGTAAGTAACAAAGGGAGGGTGTTGTATAAGTAAGAATTGTAGAGCAGAGTCAAGATAGCCTTCTTGGAGAACATAATTTTTTAACAGTTGAGAGTGGGTATGTAACGTGTTTCACATGCCTCTTAATACTAAGCACCTAGTTATCTTGAAAAGTAAAGAGTAGGAAAATAAAATATTAGGATTTCTTTTTAAACATGTTCAAATTAAAGTGTTGTGGTAGATTACTGATTGTGCCTGCATGTTCAGCCTTAACAGTTTTCTGACTGGAGGTAGAAGGTATTTTCATTTCTTCATGCAGTCATGTTAGCAGTACTATTTATCTAGCAGACTTATTAGATATGGAGTTACTGTTCTCTTGTGCTTTCATTATTCACTGAGTTGCAGAATGTCAGTCTCCCTAGGGAATAGGGAGGACTGTAGATTAGTTTTAAACACCTCTTTTAGATTAGAAATGAGAAAATTGAGGCTCAGAAAGATTGAGAGACCTGTATAAAGTTCCATGGATACTAGTGACAAAACCAGACTTAGTACTGCTTAGGTCTCCTGACTTCTGGTCAGTTGTCCTTCTCACAGTACCCTTCTGTCTAGTATGAAGCTTCATCTGGAAAAAGAAGTCTTAATTTCTTAAGGTCTAACCAGATTGTCATTTCTTTCTTCATTTTGTCAATAGTGTGGAAAGACATTGGGCGGGGGGGTTTTTACTTTTTCACTTTAATAGTCTTAACCTTAGGCAACTTATTACCTCTTTGCCTAATGCTTTTTATGTGTTAAGTGGGGATAAGAATACTTATCTAATAATAAGTGGCTGTCAGGATTAAGTTAGATGGCCTTTATAAAGTCCTTTCTTTTGGTTGGCATATTTTAAGAATTGAGTAAATGTGTTTTTCTTTTTTTCCCTTTTTCCCCCCTAGAGCACTTATCACATTGCATTACAATTATTTATTTTATATTCACCAGGTGGGGTTCCTGGAGATTTTCCCCTCAGTAATTTCTCAACTTTAAATGTTTAGTAATAATATGTAATCTGTGAATATATTCTTAAAACAAAAAATGAACCATTCAAGCTACCCCAGGAATTTGGTACTGAAACATAGGAACACTCTTGTATTTCATTTGCCTGTTAGAGAAGAACTGAGTAACTGTTATTCATTTTTAATAGTCATAATTCTATAATAAACTGACTTTACTTCCCATATTGTTTGAGGCCTTGCTTTGACCTTAAGAGAGAATTGTTTCATTATAATTTTTCAAATAAAGTGTATTGATTGTTTTATTTGGCCCTGGTCTCTGTCCCTGACTGCTTCTACGATTGCCTTACAGATCTCTGAGGAACATGAATGCAATGATGAAGTTTCTCAGGAAGATGAGGGGTTTATGGGCATGTCCCCCCTTTTACAAGCACATCATGCTATGGAAAGAATGGAAGAATTTGTTTGTAAGGTAAGATGGCAGTTTCTTGTTATTCCTGTGCTATATACTTAACCCTTTCCAAACAGCAACTTTTAAGGAGAGTTGCAGTACCAGCCTATGGTTTACTTTGGGGATAATCTGTGGCAAAATGGAGACAGAAGCAATCTCGTGACTTTAACCCTGGTTAAGACAAAATACATTTGCCTGCCGCAACCATGATAAAGTTGTGATAAAACTAGAATATCCATCTATGAACAAGTGTTTCCTGATGTAAGTTAACAGAGTAGATGTCTTGTTGATAGTTTAGATAAGACAGGATGAAAGTTGTGTGTGTGGGGGGTGAGGGGGTGATGCTTAGATATACTGAAGCCATCTCCAATTCCCTTGAATCTCTTTTGTTATTTGGCTGTAAAGGCAAATGTGCTAATCTTTCTAAAGATTCCTTGGCTAGTCAAACTACTCTTTAGATAGAAATTTCCCGTTTTTCATGCACATCCAGTATTTCCAATTTAGCTGGCATGTTTTCTGTCTCTGAATTTTTTCTTCTAATGCATTATGTGATTCTTTAGGACCTATTATGGGGACTTTTTTCCTTCTAAATGGTAACTGAAATTGGGGGTGCTTTCTTAGAATAGGAACACTGGTAAATTTACAGCTTCTTGATAATCTGATTATTAGATAGGGCTCTGAGAGATCTAAAGTCATAAGTCAGTCTGCCTGTGTTTGTATGTGTAAATAGATTAATTTGTTAAACATTTCTGGGGAACTCTTGGTCATTTAGAGAGAAATTTTTGTGACTCTTATCTTTCTCAGGAGTTTCATGAAATCAAGACTTTTTATGCATATGGACCCTGAAAACTAAGTTAGGTTTTCCTGCGTTCACAGTGGTGGTAGAAATAATTGGGGTCAGTTGACTCTAGAATACTATACTTTGGACAAGAGGATGAGAAGAGAACATTATAATCCAAATATAGACATCCCTTCTAAGATAAAGGGATGGATGGAGAGTGGTGAGGGAGGGATATAAACATGGGTCTACTTACAGCCCAGGAAATTTTAATCAGTGTTTGAAAGTTGGTGAAGGAAGCCAAGCAAAACAAGAGATTCTTTCTAGTGATTGCTGTCTTAGGAATTAACATAAAAGGATGTAGAAGATATATTTTGTTTTTCAAAAAGCAAATTTGGTGGTAAATCTCTCAAAGTTGAATACTTAGTGTCTGGGCCATTAGGGATTTTTAATATTTATAGATTAGTGGGGTGCTATAGTTAACTTGACTCCCTTTTTCTCTTTTTCTGAACTGAGAGTAAAGAATAAAGCAAATAAAACTTTCAATGTAACAGCTAATGGGAGAATAAATAGGGCATTTGTTTGCTCCAAACTATGATTTACTGAAGAAAACTGAATGGAGCACAAAAATTATTACCATTCCCTTATCATCCTCTAGCAGTTTGTCTATGAGAGCAGACTGAAGGGGCTTCTTGTGACATGGCATTCTCTAAGCTTGCTCTACCTGCTGCCGTGGTGCACCTGAGTGTACTTGACAACTAACTGGGTCTAGTGACAAGAAAAAAAATTTTTTTCTTGGATTGAAAGCAAGTAAACAGAATTTAAAATGAAGTGTCCTGTGGCCTTGTTCGTATACTTACTTTCCCTTTTAAAAAAGCTTTTCTGGTGTTCGGTTTTCGCGGTTGGTGGGTAGTAACCGAGCCAACATGCTGTGGACTCTGCTGGCTCTTCGTCAGATTGCCCAGAGAACCATAAGTACTGCTTCACGCAGGCAGCTTGAAAATAAAGTTCCAGAGAAGCAAAAGATATTTCAGGAGGATAATGGAATTCCAGTGTATCTAAAGGGTGGAGAAGCTGATGCCCTCCTGTATAGAGCCACCATGATACTTACAGTTGGTGGAACAGCGTATGCCATATATCAGCTAGCTATGGCTTCATTTCCCAAGAAGCAAGACTGACTTCAGTTTATCATCTCAACAGGCAGTTGGTTCAGTTTCATTCAGCTCTCTCTGGACCAATAATTGATAAATAACTGAGTTCTTCTTTGGGGATCAATATTTATTGACTTATACTAACTGCCATCAATAAAGCAGTCTTTACCATTAAAAAAAAAAAAAGCTTTTCTTACAGGAATAGGGGAAATAAAATCATTTAGTCTTTATTGAGTATCCAAGTTTGAGCATGGTCTCTTTTTCTCCAGCTTCTAAAATTAAGAATAAGTGTTTTTTGTGTTAGTGGTCTAATACAAATCCAGTGGACCATTAGGGATTTTTGATATCAGATATATGCAGTACCTTTGTTATGCTTATAAATACATTTGTATTTGTATTTTTTTTTACACCGGGGGGTAGAAGAGGATGCCTGTTTGGGTTGGCATTTGGATTGACTCCAAGTTGAGAATTGAGGGTGCAATGTCCGTTGAATAAGACACTAATTTCATTATAATTATGAAAGTGTAGCTCCTTGGTTCAGCTTAGACCATTAGAATGTTTGTTTAGAAATGGAGAAAAATCACTCTGTTATATGCAAACATAACTAGTAAGAAACTCAACATATTCTTTCTGACTGCAAAAAGGGAGCATTTAGGCTGTGTGGGATAAAACAATAGCACTTTTCATATGGTCACAGCAGAGCTGTTTGCATATTGTAAACTACATAGCAATTGTGAGAATTGATTTCTCTTTTCCTCTCCCTGTTAGATTATAAAATTCTCCCAAAGTGAAACAGTAGCATCTTGTAAAGTTAACATTAACAGTAGCTGTCTTTTTTCAAGTAAAAATTAGATAAAGGAAATTTCAGTATCTTGGAGTGTTCTCTCTTTCTCCAGAAAGTCCTTATACCAGTAGACATTAAAAATCTAGATTAGTCTTTTGGCATTATTATTATTTTTAACTGTATATTATAAACAAGTATAGAATGGCCAGATTTGAGTTAGAAGGTGAGAGAGGAAGTGGGGAGGCTACGGAGTGAGTGAGTTTTAGTAGTGTTAAGAGGGCCACTTCTACTGTTGAATTCTCATTTCCTTTGGAGTTACACAGAGGATCAGTTCTTTTACAAATGTATTTCAGTAGAAAGGATCAAGGATAGCAGAGAACTGGAAAATGTGCTACAAAAGTCTTTTTGCACCATAGAGAGAGCGCTCCAAGTTTGTATAGCCTAGCCGTGTTATTTGTCATAAGAATCCTCAGGGATAAAGGTGGGAAGACATTGTCTGAGCTTGAAGCCTGTAGGTAGACCACGTACCTGGCATTTTTCCTTGTATCTTTATGGTTCATAGGAGTAAGTTAGTTCAGGATTAAGTGAGCCTTGTGATGTGTGCTCTCTGGGCTGAGAGACATTAAAAGAAACAGAGTGCAGGGATTGACAAACTTATTTTAAGAATGAGTACCAGGGGCGCCTGGGTGGCTCAGTCGGTTGGGCGTCCGACTTCGGCTCAGGTCATGGTCTCACAGTCTGTGAGTTCGAGCCCCACATCAGGCTCTGTGCTGACAGCTCAGAGCCTAGAGCCTGCTTTGGATTCTGTGTCTCCATCTCTCTCTGCCCCTCGCCTGCTCACTCTCTGTCTCTCTCAAAAATAAACAAACATTAAAAAATTAAAAAAAAAAAAAAAATGAGTACCAAATTCCTGATCCCTTTTCTGTTAGAGTCTTTGGGGGAGGGATAGTGAAGAAAAGGGGAGGCGGTGACAGGGCTCGAAGGGCAGTGAAGGTTTGAGTTGCTTTGCCATCTCTTTAGCACGATTGAGGGTAGATTAGTCACTGACTCCTAGTGATAGGCTCTGGGGATGGTCCTGGTGACATACCACCTGTGGGCTGGGTGGATGCTGGGGCTTGCTTTGAGTTATTTCATTTGATCCTTATGAAGGAATCAAAGTATTGTTGCCTTCATTTTATAAATGAGGAAACTGAAGCTTGGTGATTTTCTGATTAAAGCTCTTTCAACTAGTTAATGGCAGAGATCCAAGATTTTGACTGCTGTGCACTTTCTTCATCATGTTTGTTGTGGTAGGAAGAGAAGGGAGAGGGAGAGATTTTAGCAGAAGGCACAGAAGTGATTCCGATGTGAAATGTTGTTGGGGTCCAGGAGCAAATGTTCAAGAAAGAAATCTTGAGACATCTTTGGTGCAAAAAAGGTGGTTTTATTAAAGCACAAGGGATAGGACCTGTGGGCAGAAAGAACTGCACTAGGGTTGTGAGGAGGGACTAAGTATAATACTTTCAAGTTGGGAGGGGGTTAGGGATAGTATAAGTCTCTAAGGAGTTTGGGAGCAAGATTTCCAAGACCTTGAAGGGCTAGCTGTTAATAGGAAAAGGCCACTTGTCATGAGACCCTTCAGATGTATGTCAGTGGGCCGTATGCTTGGAGAATGATTGCTAATAGTTACCTTGGGGACTGGGGGTGGTCATAGGATCTTGGAGTTCAGGCTAATGTCAAGTTAAGGTTGCTTTTTGCCTCCAGCACAGTATTAACATTGAGTCCAGTGAGTTCCTGGAGGGAGGTCATTCTGCCTGTTCCAAGTACTTGTCAGTGGGCTGTAAGTTATAAGGAAATTTAATTTTTTTCTTTGGCTTTGTTTTTCACATCAATTTTGTATACCACTGCCCTTATTGGCCCTTGAATGATACAGGGATTAGAGGTACTGACTCCCCATCACAATAGAAAATCCATGTATAATTTTTGACTCCTCCAAAACTTAACTATTAATAGACTACTGTTGACTCGAAGCCTTATCAATAACATGAACTCAACACATATTTTGTATGTTATATGTATTCTATACTGTATTCTTTAATAAAGTAAGCTAGAGAAAGAAAATGTTTTTAAGAACATAAGGAAGAGAAAATTCATTTACAGGGCTATACTGTAAAAAATCTGCATATAAGTTGACCCACGCATTTCAACCCCACAGTCAGGGGTCATCAGTTCTTTTTCCACCAACAGAAATATTAAGTATAAGAATGGTAATATTTAATATCACAGGGCATTTTCAGAGGTAAAGTCTTGTGGATAATGAAGGAAGGAGAATTTGTATAGGTTGACCCTTCACTCTGCCTTTAGCCAAACTGAAACGAAGCTTGAAACCACTGCCTTAGGGCAACCAGTGTTGCTTCTTTGACATAACCACAAAAGTATTTGATATTCTTCTTCCAGGTATGGGAAGGTCGATGGCGAGTAATCCCTCATGATGTACTACCAGACTGGCTCAAGGATAACGATTTCCTTTTACATGGACATCGGCCCCCAATGCCTTCTTTCCGGGCTTGTTTTAAGAGCATTTTCAGAATACACACAGAGACAGGCAACATCTGGACCCATCTCTTAGGTATGTAATATCAGTGGTGTCAGGAACTAGTGATTCACTATGTTCTTTTTTTTTCCCCACCCATGTATTTGAGGGTTAATGATAAAACTTTAAAAAGGTATTTGGGACTTGCCCTTTTGTTTTCTGGATTTCTGATGATAATTTCTTATTGGTTTACTGTGTGGTTATCCTACTTTGCATTTTGATTTTATTATACCGAAGTCATATTTTTTTCTACTAGATTTTTAACCTTGTCCTTGAACCAGGCCAACACCATTTTGCTCTACAAAATGTGTATAGTATTTTAATGAACAATGTGAGGAAGGTGATTATTTAATAGAATTAAGCTGATTTTGGGGGCACCCCGGTGGGTCAGTCAGTTGAGCATCTGACTTCGCCTCAGGTCTTGATCTCATGGTTCGTGAGTTTGAGCCCCATGTTGTTCTGTGCTGACAGCTCAGAGCCTGGAGCCTGCTTTGGATTCTGTGTCTCCCTTCCTCTCTCTCTCTCTCAAACAAAAATAAACATTAAAAAAGAAAGAAGCTGATTTTTCAGTCATTACTTTATAAAAAAATTTTTTTATGTCTTTATTTTGAGAGGCAGAGAGCAAGCAGGGGTCAGAGAGGGAGACACAGAATCTGAAGCAGGCTCCAGGCCCTGAGCTGTCAGCACAGAGCCTGATGGGGGCTCAAACCCACAAACTGTGAGGTCAGGATCTGAGCTGAAGTCAGTCACTCAACTGATTGAGCCACCCTGGTACACCCCCCCCCCCTTTTTTTTTTTTAAAGTTTTTAATGTTTATTTTTGAGAGAGAGAGCACGTGTGAGGGAGAGACAGCAAAAGAGGGAGCACATTTAACTTCTTAATTTCTGTGCCGTCCTTCTATTAAATGGCCTTTTCCTAAGCAATAAGAAGAAGAGCAGTTTAAGAACTGGTTATGAAATAACATAAATAGGCACAATTTATTGTCCTTAACTTTTGAATCTGTTGAGTCAGTGGATAAGACCAGAGACGCATAATATTCCATGACATCTATTGATAGAGGAAAGCTGTATTTCTTGCCAGGGTTTGGAGGTATTAGAATTCATTGCAAAACAAACACAAAATGGACTTTTTGAAAGCTGGGCTCCAATATATGTGCCAAAAACTTTTCTTTCATGTTTTCTTTTTTAAGTTTGTTTATTTTGAGAAGTAGTACAAATAGGGGAGGGGCAGAGAGAGAGAGAGAGAGAGAGAGAGACAGAATCCCAAGCAGGCTCTGCTCTGTCAGCGTGGAGCCCAACGTGGGGCTCAAACTCAAAATGAGATCATGACCTGAGCCATAATCAGGTGCTTAACTGACTGAGCCATCCAGGTGCCCCACCAAAAACTTTCTAAATGAAATTTTATACTAGATCTAGAGGTAGAAGATCTAGTATAGAGGTAGAAGATCTATGGTGTTTTTGTTTGTTTTTTTGGATTATGCTGTTAGAGAAAGAAGTTACTATATTCTATAAACTCATTTTTTAAATAGTTTATTGTCAGGTTGGTTTCCATATAACACCCAGTGCTCATCCCCACAAGTGCCCTCTTCCATGCCCATTACCCCCCGGTCCCCTCTCCCCTATACCCATCAGTCCTCAGTTTGTTCTCAGCATTCAAGAGTCTCATGGTTTGCCTCTCTCCCTCTCCCCCACTATTTTTCCCCTTCTTCTCCTCCATGGTCCTCCGTTAAGTTCCTCCTAATCTACTTAAACATGCAAACATATGGTATCTGTCCTTCTCTGCCTGACTTATTTTGCTCAGCGTAACACCCTCAGGT